GTGACAGTGTCGGAATTCGGGAAGGTTCGGGAGTGACGAGTGACGCCGAAGCCCACCAACGCTTGGTCACGTGCGCCACGCAACAGGCGACTCACCTAACTCGGCGGTCGGTAACTCACCTAACTCGGCGGTCGGTAACTCGCCCAACTCAGCGGTCGGTAACTCACCCAATTCAACAATCGGTAACTCATCCAATTCAACAGCCGATAACTCACCTAAACCGTCAATTTAGCACAGACAATCACCATGGCAGACGACACTAAGGTCAACGAACCCAAATAAGAAACTCAACACCCAGAGAGCGAAAGTGAGCAAAGCGAGCAAGTCTTACAAGAAGAGAAACTGCCAACAAGAAATGAGACAGTTACAACGAAGCCAATCACCACTCCTGAGGAAACCAACAGCCCAAGTGGAGCGTCAGGATCAAAGGAGCCCGCTCAACAAAAATCAACGCCTGCAGCTTCAAGAACAGCACTCACCATGCAACAGGAAGGTCAATTAAGACTACTAACGTTCAAAGTAGAGACTCTGATGGAGATATATCATGACCTCCCGCAGGACGCTGAAACCGAAGAGGACCTCACCCTAGAAGAATTAGACGGGCACAAGAGGATAATTGAAGCAGAATGGAGCGAGTATTTTCAGATTTATACCAATCTAGCCGAGTTTCTTCCTCCTGATCACGAGTATGTGAACGAAATGATCCATGAACGAGCCACCAGGACAAGACGACAAGCCCTGATGCTCATTGCTCGGCTGAAGGGTCAACTGGCAAGGAAAAAGGATTCAATTAGCAGCTTAACAGATCAAAGCCAGGCAAATCAGCCGAAATGTCTTGACATCAAGTCATTCGATGGGAAACCGGAGGAATGGAAGGAGTTCAGTGACCTTTTCTTGTCACTGGTGGGAAATTTCACGTCAATTCCACCAGTATAGAAATTGGTGAGACTTAAGGGATGCCTGAGAGGTCCAGCAGCAGTTCTCCTCTCTACCTTTCAGGCCAAGGACGAAAACTACGAAAAGGCTTGGCAGAAACTCAGCAGGAAGTACGAGGACCCTAGACTCGTCGCTCAGTCGCTGTTCAACAGAATCCTGACGCTGCGGAAAATCACCCAAGCAACAGAAGAGAACCTCAGCGCCAACGGAGCAGCAGCATTGGAGACCCTCGATCAATTACAGGACGTGACGGGGTTAACGACAGACAATATCGCTGAACAGCTGATAGCCCATTTACTGAGGAGATCCCTTGATGCAGAGACACTCAAGCAGTGGGAACTAAAGCTGGGAGACTCAAAGGATTTCCCGAGCCTTAAGGAGTTCGTGGTGTTCATCGAGGCCTGCGGCAGAGGGATCAACGCAGGTGCCAAGCTGCTATCATCAAAGGAAATCAACGCAGCCACGAAGAAGTCAGCTCCAACAAAGAAAAGGAGCACCTATACAGCAGCAACTCACCAGCAGGAAATTAAGGAGCCAGAAAGACAACTTCCAAGGAACTGCTGTGCCTACTGTCAGGACAAGCATTTTATCGCATCCTGCCAGAAGTTCATCGAGCTCACCCCAGCGAAGAGAAACGACGTCGTTATCAACAAGGGGCTGTGCTTCAACTGCTTGGGGCCACACACGAAGGCCAAGTGCACGTCGGACAAGAAGTGCCACAAATGTAGCAGATATCACCACCCTGAACCCGTCCAGACTGTTGGAACATCCAGGCAGCAAGAGGATCACGGGAATAGTGAGTGAATGAATTCAATCGCAATAGCACACTCACCATCTCATTGATCATTCCTCAACATTAGAATCCAGTACATCACCACCAGTAGCAGTGAACTTCAACAACAAAATGATCAATGAGAAAGCAGAGAACATCAACCACGAAACTCACCAAGGAGAAGCAGATCAACAGTCAGTGCTGTTGGCAACAGCACGAGTAAAAGTCATATCACCGAGAGGATTCACGACAAAAGCCAGAGCACTCATCGACCAGGGTTCAGAGGTATCGTTTATCTCCGAACAATTAGTTACAACACAACTGCACAACTGCATTTACAGAGAAGAGCATCAACAGTGGAGCTAGTGGGAATTGGTGGAATTAATTCAGGATACACCCGAGGAATAGTTTCAGTCACTCTACAATCGAACAGTGGGACTCATCAACTGCAACTCAACGCCCACATTCTAAAGAAGCTCACCGCAATAATTCCGTCATCATACTAGGGGCTGACAACTATGGGCGGATCATCATGGATGACGTTGTCAAGTCAGCGCAATCGAGAGTAGTTGGCCAACGCACAGTATTCGGTTGGATATTATCCGGAACAATCGAATGCACAAATTGTTCAATAAAGGTATCTCTATCAGCTGTACGAGAATCTTCGAATGAACAACTTCTAGAGCTTCTCCAGAAATTTTGGGTCCAGGAAGAACTGCCAAACGAGAGATCATCAACATCAGAGCTTTCACCAGATGAGTACGAGTGCGAGATGCACTTTAGAGCAACTCATAGCAGAGACAACACCGGGCGATACATCGTGAGACTGCCCCTCAAAACTTCAGCAGCAGCGCTCGGAGCATCGAAATTCAAAGCAGCACGTCAATTCAAATCGATCGTGAGTCGACTCAACACAGATCAAGCATACTCCCAGTTGTACAGAGAGTTCATCAACGAGTACGCAGCATTGGAGCACATGAGAATAGCACCAGAGACTCCAGAACCCGTGCCAGCTTACTATCTACCACATCACGGGGTACTGAGAGAGGAGGCCATCACAACGAAGCTGAGAGTCGTATTCAATGGCTCCAGCCCCAGTTCATCAGGTATGTCAATTAACGATATACTGTATTCTGGTGAAAAATTACAGAACGATGCAATGGTTATCCTGACTTCGGTGAGAAGGCACAGGCTCGTGTTTGGCACGGATATTGTCAAGATGTTCCGCCAGATACGAGTTCACCAAAATGACTGGGATCTTCAGAGAATCCTGTGGATCGACGAGAATCAACAACCAGTCACCTACCAGTTAACGACAGTCACCTATAGACTAAATTGTTCTCCATGGTTGTCGTTACGTGTTCTTCAACAACTAGCAGAAGATGAAGGGCACCGCTTCCCAGCAGCAGTAGAGACACTCACCAGAGGTCGTTACGTTGACGACATTTACGGCGGTGCAGAGACAGAAGACGGTCTCAAGGAGATCGCAACGCAACTACAAGGGCTTTGCCATGCAGGAGGCTTCTCTCTACAGAAGTGGAGCAGCAATTGTCCAGAGGCTCTGCATGAGTTGGGCCTATCAACTGACGAAGAAATTATCCAGTTCGAGGAGTCAGTGACCAAGGTACTTGGATTGTGTTGGCATCAATCCACCGGGACATTCCGGTACAAATCAAAGGATTTCAATACGACGACAATCACCAAGAGAGTAGTCACTTCAGAAAAAGCCCAGATTTTTGATCCACTGGGATTTATCGCACCAGTTGTCGTCCAGGGAAAGATTCTCCTACAAGATCTTTGGAGATTGAAACTAAAATGGGATGATCCTCTTCCAGATGAGTATGTTCAACGCTGGAAGACATTCCGAGAGAATCTCAACGACCTAGACAGAGTAACTGTACCTAGATGGCTGAGAATTTCAACAGAGACACTCAACATCCAAATTCATGGATTTGCAGACGCTTCAACGGTAGTCATGAGTGCAGTGGTGTATATTCGCACCAAAACCATCAACGACTCGACATCAACAGTACTGGCATGCGCGAAGACTAAGGTAGCACCACTCAAGCGCATGACCATCCCTCGACTAGAGCTCACAGCAGCTCTTCTACTGACTCAGCTAGTGGCATCAACGAAGAAAATGCTCCAACTCGACCAGGTAGACACCTATCTCTGGTCTGATTCTTCAGTAGCACTAGCTTGGATCAGGAGCCACGCATCAAGATGGAAGGACTTCGTCCACAACAGGGTCGTCAAGATCCAGGAAACTCTCCCGAATGCTACCTGGAGACATGTCAGTGGAAAGGAGAATCCAGCTGATTGTGCCTCCAGAGGCATATCACCGAGCCAGCTAGAAGATCATCAACTGTGGTGGTCAGGACCTGAGTGGATCAATCAGGATCCTGAAGAATGGCCACAATCATCAATCGACGCTCCAGCAATGGACATCCCAGAAGTGGCCAGAGAAGCAAAACCAGCACCAGCACATCCAGTTGCAATTAAAATCAACGAAATTGCAGAGCTACTCAACAGATATCAGACGATGGCTAAATTGCTAGCCGTAACAGCTACGGTCAACAGAGCTATCGACAGATTCAGGAGGCAGCCAACGCCCCCGGGACCTGTCTTGACAACAAGAGAACTCAACGACGCGAGGTTATTTTGGGTAAAGATAACACAACATCAATACTTTGGGCCAGCCATTCGAGTACTCCAGAGAAATCACCAACTACCGAGAAATCATCAACTAGCCAAGCTGACACCCACACTAGACAACGAAAGGATCATGAGACTTGGGGGACGCCTCAAGAACTCGCAGTTAAATCCAGACGAAATTCACCCAATAATCTTGCCTCGCCAGTCACGCCTCACCACACTAGTCATCGAAGAAGCTCACCGCAAAACACTCCACGGAGGAACTCAACTCACCTTGGCCTATACCCGTCAAAGGTACTGGATAATCGGCGGCAGAGGCACAGTTAGAGCATATATTCAACGCTGTGCCATCTGCACCAGACACCGAGGAAGACAGGCCCAGCAACAGATGGGTCAACTACCAGCAACGAGAATCTCACCAGCAAGAGCATTTCTCCACACAGGGGTGGACTATGCAGGACCATTCGCCATCCTCAAATGGAGACCAACGAATGCACAACCAGGGTCAGTGCACATTGCAGTTTTTGTGTGCTTCACCACATCAGCAGTTCACCTAGAGCTAGTCACCAGGCAGACAACGGACGCCTTCATCGGAGCCTACAAGAGATTCACCGGAAGGCGGGGTATTCCAGCTGTCATGTACAGTGACAATGCCACTACCTTCGTGGGCGCAGCAGAGGTCCTAGAGAAAATCTACCACCGAACATCCAGAGAAAATCAGCAGGTTCAGGCTGCTCTCGCCACCAATGGGACTCAATGGAGCTTTTCACCACCACGAGCACCCGGTTTTGGAGGCAAGTGGGAAGCAGCCGTGAAATCAACAAAATATCACCTTAGAAGAGTCTTGGGGACAACAACACTCACATTTGAGGAACTCAACAGTGTCGTGATCCAGATAGAGGCCTGCCTAAATTCCAGGCCAATCTGTCCCATGTCAGATGATCCAGATGATCTCCAAGTACTCACCCCAGGACACTTCCTGATAGGTGAGCCTCTTCAACTGATTCCAGAGCCATCAATCATCGACAAGAACCCCAGCAAACTGCAGAGATGGAACCTGGTAACGCAGCTAACTCAACAATTCTGGTCCAGGTGGGCCAAAGAGTGTCTTCAACGATATCAGGCAATCTAAAAGTGGACGCATCGAGAAGAGAACATCAAGGTTGGCGACATGGTGCTGATGATCGACGAAAATTATCCACCAGCACAATGGCCAATCGGACGAGTCATTGCGACACGCCCAAGAGCAGATGGGCTAACGAGAGTCGCAACTATAAGAACCGCAAAGGCAGAGGTACCAAGCCAGGCAGATGGATCACCAATCATAGAAAACATCAGAACAATCTACACAGAGCTTGACAGACCAATCACCAAGCTTTGCCTACTGCCATCAGATCCACCACCTCCAGAGCAACCTCCAGACGATGATGCAGAAGAAGATCAACAGGACTAAAATCACCATTAATTCATCATCCCTGATGATGAATTGCCCCCGGGGTGTTCGAAATACAGCCTAAATCTCCATAATGGTCACGGTCGACTAACTCGGCCATCTCCGAAAATCTCCGTGAAGTTTCGGGTCAACGGACACAGGTCAGCGCGGCACCCGGAAGAGTCAGTCAGTAGTGCAGAAGTATCGTTACGATAATGATCTAAAGTATTCAGTCAAACAGTATTCTAAATTTAATATCTTTGTTCAGTAAATCAACTTGTTGATTAAGTTATAATTTTCCCAACATCTCCCTCCACATTTTCATCCCACATCCACCCTAAACTAGTTCCTCACCAAACATGGTCTTAACAAAAATTTTGCTATTCTCCAACGTTTTCGAGATATTCAATGAAAAATAAAAAATAGTCAAAATAAAATTGAAAAATTTGGTACTGAATTGTCGGCGGACAATTTCACTTATTATTGTTCAAGATCCCTTTTTTTATATCTGAAATTTTACCAATTTTATAATTCCTCTGATGCAAATTGACAAGTCCAGGGGAACAATTTCCTATTTTTTGTTTTGTACCTTCAAAATTTTAATTTTGATGACAGTTTTCATATGGTTTTTATGGATCTCATATGGAGATTTAATTTAATCTGGAGATTAAATAAAACTGACGATTTAAATAACTAACTCGGCTTGGTGCAACCGGCCCATAATATATAATATTATAATATATTAAATACATTATAATATTGTAATAGAGAAATAATTTGTTTTCTAAATAAAAATTACAAAAATTGAAACTAGCGAAGAATCATTAAATTTTTTAAAAAACCTAGAATAATTTTAATTAGAAGAAAATAATATTTATATATCATAATATCATATATAATCACTTATTTATAACATGAATGATTATTTTCTAATTGAAAATTAAAAATGAATGAAATAAATTTTTTTTAGTTCCAACTTTTTTAAGTCCAGTTTTCTAATTTTTATTTAGAAAAAAAAATTATTTCTCTATTACAATATTATAATCTATTTAATATATTATAACATTATCTATTATGGGCCGGTTGCACCAAGCCGAGTTAACTATTTAAATCGTCAGATTTATTTAATCTCCAGATTAAATTAAATCTCTATATGAGATCCATAAAAACCATATGAAAACTGTCATCAAAATTAAAATTTTGAAGGTACAAAACAAAAAATAGGAAATTGTTCCCCTGGACTTGTCAATTTGCATCAGAGGAATTATAAAATTAGTAAAATTTCAGATATAAAAAAAGGGATCTTGAACAATAATAAGTGAAATTGTCCGCCGACAATTCAGTAGCCAATTTTTCAATTTTATTTTGCCTATTTTTCATTGAATATCTCGAAAACGTTGGAGAATAGCAAAATTTTTGTTAAGACCATTTTTATAAAGCAAATAAAGATCTACAAAAAAGTTTATAATGAAAATTTGACTACTAGCCACAGATTCAGAGNAATCCATAAAAACCATATGTAAACTGTCATCAAAATTAAAATTTTGAAGGTACAAAACAAAAAATAGGAAATCGTTCCCCTGGACTTGTCAATTTGCATCAGAGGACTTATAACAAAAAAAATAAAAATGTTAGATATAAAAAACGGGATCTTGAGCAATAATAAGTGAAATTGTCCGCCGACAATTTAGTAGCGAATTTTTCAATTTTATTTTGACTATTTTTCATTGAATATCTCGAAAACGTTGGAGAATAGTAAAATTTTTGTTAAGACCATGTTTGGAGGGAAAAGTGAATTTAGGGTGGATTGGGAAAGGGGTAGTGGAAATGCCGGTGAAAAACGAACGCACTGAGTCTATAAAAAATATACTGATTTATTCGGTGGAATCGAACCACCTTAGACATTCACAGCAGCCCACTCGGTGTTTGACAGACCAATCACCAAGCGTCACTTAGCGTCACTTGTTACACTCTGTTAATTGTCACTGAAATTAATTCAAACTGTTCTGAATTTAACACTGGAGATTTTCTGAATAATATACTGAATAATAGGAGACTGTACTGAGAATTTAAATAGGAGATGTACTGAGAAAACAAAATGTCTCGAACGGGTGTTGTACTGACGCTGTTCGGACAACCGGAAGTAGCTTTTGAAAAACGATATACTGCTCGCTCAACACATTTGCTACGACTCTCTACGACTGACTCTGAGATTCTGTGATTGACTAGGCGTGACCGTTGACCTGAGGTTTCCCGAAGATTGTCGTAAGTGGCCGATCTGTGGTCAACCATTGATGTACTGAATTTTAACTGCGTTTCAAACACCCCGGGGGCATTCAACATCAGGTTGTTGAATTACTGGATCTGGTTTCTGCTGGTCTGGTTCTGCTGATTCTGGTTCTGCTGATG